AGTCCACACTGTCTTGCTTTAGGCATCCTTTCTATTGCTGTCATTGATGACAAGAGTAGACTTAATGAAACAAATGTGAGTCGATAATGTTTTCTAGGACTATACTTCCCTCCAATTAACTTTAAAAAGTTATCCTCAAAACTGTATTTCTATGAAGTACTTTAGTGGAAATTGAATTTATTTCCCCATTCTAAGAGGGAATTTTATTAATGGTAACTCTTCAATGTTTTATCTTTAACTAGTGTCTCAGTGCACGAAATTCATCCATGGGGGGTCCCTAGGCATGGCTAGTGATCAGGGCTGATCAAGTTCCCTGTCTCCCCATCTTCTTCCCTCATCACCTGCATATGCCTCCACCTCTTCCCGGTTCCCCATCCCAACCTGGGGCCTGGCCACAATCAGGTGATTGGGCCTTGCCAGCCAGGGGGAAAGACCCTTCAGTTGTCAGGCAGGCCCTATTGGTGATCGGGGTACCTGCAGGTTGGGGACAGCTCCTGCATTGAGCGTCATAGTGACCAGTCACTTAGGCTTTTATATATATATAGATATCTAATTAGAATTTTACTGCCTGGAAAATCCCTTCTTATGTATTATATAATTTATAATTATAGTATTTTATTACATTAATGAACTTAGGTGCCAATCCCAGAAATTTAACCAGAAAGGACCAAATATTAAATAGGTTACATGACTAGCACAAAAGTAATTGGTAAGTGCAACAAGTTCAAACCCATATCTTCCAAGGCTCTTCCAACAGTAAAGAGACATATAATAAAAATCTGTGTGTGTGTGTGTGTGTGTGTGTGTGTGTGTGTGTGTGTTTTGAGTGCAGAAACTTATTTTCATGAATAAATTGTAATGCCATTAGGCATAATAACTGTATATAATTTATGTAGCTAAAGCATGGAATTTTTGAAACTCTGTGTTCTCCCTAGGGTATATCATTAAGCATTCCCTCCCATTGAATACAAACAGAAGAAAGCATTTGATTTTATGTTATCTAGGACAGTTTACCCTTGACAGGTCTGAGCTGCACAGGTCCAGTCATACACAGATTTTTTTTTCAATAAATAAAAAAATATTGAAAATGTATTTTCTCTTCCTTATGCTTTTCTTAATAAGTCTTCTTTGCCCTGGCTTACTTCATATTGTAAGAATACAGTATATAATGCATATAACATACAGAATAAGTATTAACTGTTTATGTTATCAGTAAAACTTCTGGTAAACAGCAGGCTATGAGCAGTTAGCTTTGAGTGAGTCAAAAGTTGTGCATGGATTTTCAACTGAGTATGGGGTGCCCCAAACCCCCACATTGTTCAAGGATCACCTATGTCCTTCTATATTGTCTTCCACTCAGATGTTACTCTTTCTGCCTGGTGTTTCTGTCTATTGTTCTATCCCCATGCCTATTAACATGAAATTATTTCTCATTTCTCATTTATCCTTAAATATAAATTGGTTTTTCAGGTATTTGCAGTTTACTGTAATTCCTTAGTCATTTGTAGGAATGAAAATTGTAGCTTTCCCTGGAGGGATTTCTGGTTAAAGTAATGCAGAAGATTGACAGGAAGGACAGAAACCGTATTTATATCCTATGTCGCACTAGGCTTGTGGGCATCACACTAGCCTGGATCACATTCAGCCATAACGATAATGAGATAAACAGATGCTGCAGCTCCTCCAGCCACCCTGAGCTCTAGGTAAACACATACATACAAACCCTTTGGCAAATGTAAAATCTCTCGAAATGGGACTGAACATCTGTCAATTTTTTTTAAATGACAATGATATGCACTGATTGCTGTGCATTATTTTGCTAAACCCTTTGCATGGTATTTCATTTAATCTCAAGATAACCGCATGAGGAAAGTACGAATGCCCATTATAAAGATAAAGGAATTGAAGCTTAGAGGAGCTAGGTATGGCTCCAAGTCCATGAGGTTATTTGCTAAGGAGCTAGAATGTGATTCCAGGTCAGGACCCTTTCAATATCACCACAAAAACTTGGTTCCACTAAAACCGGATCCTACAAGTAACATACCCCTCGTTATTGGAGAGGATGGTTGGGGACCAGTGTGGGTCTATCAGTCAGGGCTCTGGGAGAAAGAGAAAGCATGTTGACTTGAGAAAAGCTGAATATTGACATTATGCATTAATGTGGGTAATACCCTCATGCTAGTTTCAATGACTTGTTAACACCTATAGGCTGAAGACATGAGCCTCATTCCAATGGAATCTGGAAAGAAGGGTGACAGAAGGAGGGAGAGAGAAGGGAAAAGGTGAGAAGTGAGAAGGAGGTAGAGAGAACTGCTAAGTAGAGCAGTGCCTCTTGGTCCAGGGAAGCAACCAGGTTACAGAAATCCTGGGGTGAGACAGAGTGTTGCTAGTCTTTGAAAGCCAGAAAGCAAGGGGCCAGAAGGGCATAGCTGGTGCCCAACCACCACGAGGGGATGAAGCAGGGTTCAGAGTGCCTCAGGGTAAGTCGGCATGGGATTTTAGAAGTGCACCTCACTCACTCCCTCCCCTCAGATTCACCTCCATCCTCTCGTACCCTGGAATTACTGACTACACTTGCATAATCTCCCCAAGGAAATAGACAGGAAACAAGATTAAAAGACTGAGGATAGGATTTAAACCAGCCACCCGCCTTGGAAGCATAAATTATGCTATTATACCTCTGGACCTAGAGAATACTGTTACTTTTGTAGAAGTAAATAATGATACTCTCTGCTTTTATAATGTCACTAGAAGCCTGATGCACGAAGATTCATGCTAGAATGGGCTTTCCTTTGCCTGGCTGCTGGCACCATCTTTCCACTCTGGCCCAGCCCCTTTCCACTCAGGCCCTGGAGCTGCCTCTTTCTGCTCCAGGGGCCACCTCTTTCTGCTCTGGCACCACCTTCCCACACTGCCCAGAGGCCCTGAGAGACCAGGGGTGGAGCTGAACGCCTGCATCCCGCCCCTGTCACTTGGCGTCTGTGTGTACAATTAACCACAAGTTTTGTTGGGTTAATATCACTCCTGATTTGCTGGTGGTGTAGCAGAGGTACAGTCAATTTACATGTTTGTCTATTATTAGGTAAGACTAGAAGCCCAATGCATGAAAAAATTTAGTGCAAGATTAGGCCTCCACAGCCCCAGCTGCCTGGATCCCTCCCTTGCAGTTGCCTGGTGGCTGCCTGGATCCTGCGACTGCAGCCCCACCTTTGTCCCGGAAGGACAACTGGAAGGACGTCCAGTCTAAGTAGCATATTACACTTTTATTTTTATAGATGGCAGAGACTGAAAAACAACTCCTGCTTTTGTTTTCTTTAATCTATGATTGCAAATGCTTTTGAAATGTAGTAGTGCACTTTTGTACTAAGCATTTACTAGTATCAACATCAACATGTGTTTTAGGTATACTACATTGTAGAAAAAGCAGGTATGAACTAATGGCTAGGCCTTCCCTCAAATAGGTACATATTCTTTAATGAGGTGTGCAGGGCTTTTTTGTTTGTTTGGTTTTTGTTAATTGAGACGTAATTTTGTCAGTTTTCACAAACGTGCACAGTCCTGTAATTAACAGTACAATTGAGAATCAGGATATTTCCATCATTCTGAAAAGTTCTAAAGCTTTTTAAATCTTTAATCCAACTCAACTGAATGGTTGGTATCAACTTTTGTTTCTTCTGATTTTAAATAGGAAATGGATGGTAGCACCCAAACAGTAAGTTGCACATAGTAGGTGCTTTTGTAAAAAGTATTTTTGTTGGTTTGCTTCCCCACCCTTCTCCGTAATATAACTAACTACTCATATGATTTATGAACTCACTACACATGGACTAGGCTTAGAAAAGGTTCATAATTTTGGCTGCACATTGAAGTCACCTGAATCTGTTAAATGACCCAAACAGCTGGGTGGCATCTCATTAAAGCAGGATGTCTTGGGTTGATACCACGGCATCAATAATCTTATCTTTCCAAGTAATTCCCTATGTGGTTCAGGTGAGTCGCTCTGAGTTAGACCAATTCTTATCAACTCTGGCTGCACAGTAGAATCCCCTGGGCAACTGCTCAAGAAATACTGATGTCTTCTTCCCCCATTTCTGATTTATATAACTTGTTCATAAAAGCAGACTAAAAAAGTCTGAATTTGGGTAGTTTAATATTTCTGAATGGTTAGGCTCCAGTTAATCAAGGTTTTATTACAGTTCTGGGTATGTGGTGGTGTTCAATAAATGTTAAATAGATGTTCTAATCTCACAGCAGAGGCGAGGGGGAATAAAATATGCTCTCTCTTGGAAATAAACTGTTTGTGTATCTGAAATAATTATCTTAGCAAACTGTCACTTTCTGAAAATTGTCCTCCTAGGTAATTTACCTCAAATGGTAAGCCTTGTATTTTAAGAGAACACTATATTTCAGCTATATACTTTTCCCCCCCACCATAATAGTAGGCACATATATATCTACAGAACTTGCGTAATTTTCCCCAAGGAAATATACAGGAAACAAGATTAAGAGACTAAGGATAAGATTTAAACCAGCCACGCCATCTTGGAAGTATAAATGATGCTATTGTGCCTCGGACCTGGAGAATGCTGCTTTTTGTAAAAGTGAGCCGTGGTGCTCCCTGCTTTTATAACAGAGATGAACTAAGTGTCTAATGCATGGTTACAAAACATTTACTTGTGGTATCTTTTTCAGATTTCAGGAAATCATACCTAGGAGAAATCTTTTAAACACAGTTATGGATGACCCATTATGACTGCAATGTTCCTTAGGCAAACCTCCCCAAACTTATGTTATAAATAACCAGCATGCTGCATATTTTAAGGCAGACTAATAGCACTGTGTGTTGTATGTAATCCCTCAACAAACAGCATTTTTCTTAATGTAAATATTCTTGGTTTAGAACAAAAGATAGACTAGGTAAAGTTTATTTAATTTGACGTTTTCACTTCTCATTTAATGTTCTTCTTTTTTTTTTTTTTCTTTTTTTTTTATCCTTTTAGGACCATCTCAGAAAATGGTGTCACCCAAACAAGAGCATGAAGACAGGAAACATGACAAAGTCACCGATAAAGGGAGTGAAAGTGGGACTTCCTGTAATGAGCTCTCCACCTCCAGCTGTGACAGCCACTCGGAGGCCAGCACCCCCCAGGACAACCCGGCCAGCGGCCAGCAGGCCACCGCTCACCAGCCCAGCACCTTAACCTTGGATCGCCCTTCCAAAAAAGCGCCTGTGCAGTGGATGCCCCCGCCCGACAAACGCAGGAACAGTGAACTCTTTCAGACGCTCATCAGCAAGTCCCGGGAAACCAACCTTTCCAAAAAGAAAGTCTGCGAGAAGCTCAGCGTGGAAGAAGAAATGAAAAAGTGTATTCAGGATTTTAAAAAGATCCACATCCCGGATTACTTCCCCGAGCGGAAACGCCAGTGGCAATCCGAACTGTTACAGAAGTATGGCTTATAGTGATGATCACATTCCTAACAGTGGTTGCAATGACATTCAGTGTTTACTCCAGTGTCGCTACCTGACGGTGTGTTCACAATGGTCAGTGTGGTTTTTGCTGCTCTTCCCTTTCGTGAGCCGTGAACGTGGGATAGTACTAGTATTTCCTTCCATTCCTTTCTGTTGTTGTTACTTTTAGAAGTATGTACGAGAAGAAAAGAACACCAATAAAGGTTGAATCAAAGCGGTGTGTCTGAATCAAACCATTTTGTTCAAGAATGAAAGTACAACGTGCATGATCAAGAAGCGTAGAATCTTGATGTTTGAACTGTGGTCAACTGGATATGTTTGTCTTTTTTGTAACGCACTAAAGAGAAAGCATCGTATCGCTCCAACTAAAAGGACAATATGAATGAAGCAACATCAAGTCAAATGTTAGATGATGGTTTGGGGACCTAAATCCAAAACTGTCTTAACTGTTATTACAATAAAACAAGTATTATTTTTGCATGAGCACAATGTTACAAGTAAATCACAAGATATAGGGAAGGTCTGTTTGTTGTTCGGAAAGAAAAAAAATGTTGTAAAAAAGTAAAGCAAAAAGAAAAAAAATTGTTTCGGGCAAAACCTATAAATGTAAGCTGTCTAGGTAACTGGGTTTTGTTTGTTCTAGATCTGTGATTTTTTTTGGTGTGTATGTGTATGGTGTTCTGTATGTTCAGATGGTGTAAATATGCCTTATACTATTGTGTTATGGCACTGACATTCATATATTAATGCTAGTCATGATTATTTCTGTGAAATGAGTTCTTTTACATCAGGCTGTGAAAATTGGTATAATGATGCTCTGAAAGATCGTACTATCATATTAATCAAAATCATTGAGGGAAATGGTGAAGAGCTTTATTGTATTTATTAAAAAAGGAAAATATATTAGAATTCCTTGATTTCTATGGACTCTTCTTTTAGAATATTCACTTTTTACATGGTCTTCAATTTTTCTTTAAAATCACAATTTAGAGAATGACATGTGCAAACTTCATGCTGACAAGTTAGAGTTTTAGTATAATTAAAAATGGAGCTAGATTCTGGTCCTGAGAGCCTTGGCATGGATTAATAAACTCAGCCCACAGAGAAAACAACTTCATCTGAGAATGCACTAAACTTTTATGTTAGCTGACAATCAGATTGAAAGCCTCTTCAAAAACAATTGGGAAGTTACCTCTTACAAATTAAAAGACAAAGATATCAACAGCAAGCTACAAAGTTAGCCTGAATGATAAGAAATTTTTTCCTGGCTGCACATGTGGGAACAAGTTTTCTTATCAGAAGCCACACAATTCTTGCCTTACCATCCCCACCATAAGAAAAGCATAATATCATCAAATTTCATTGACAAATAGGCCAAAAGAGGATGAAATAACTTCAGGAACTACAGACCTCAACTTTTTCTGTGGTTAGTTGGAATAGAAGTTGAGAAGCACTGTGGATAGTTGAGGAAGATAAGCATTATTAACTCCAAACTTAAAAGGCTGTACTCATTTTTGGAGTAGAGAAGCTAGTTACCCATAAACACTAACCTTTTTTTGGACAAAAAAAAAATCACTCTCAAAACTTAGTGAGTTAAAAACAACCACCATTTCTGAGTTTGCCATTCTGAGGATGGGCAATTTTGGCAGATACCAGCTGGACTGCTCTTCCACTGGTCTTATCTGTGTTTACTCATCTAGATAATCTGCTGCTGAGTTGTTAGGGGTCAACTGACCTATGATGGCCTTGCTCATTGATGGGCCTGGATCTGGGTGTCTCAGTTCTCTGCATTTCCCTTCCTCTCCAGTAGTCTAGCTCAGATGTGCTCTCATAGTGGCAGTGATCCAAGAGTGTGAGACCAGAAGTTATAGGGCCTTTTGAAACCTGGCTCCCAACCCCTACAACTCACTTCCCCTGCATTCTGTTGGTCAAAGCAAGTTATCTCAAATGTAAGGGATATGGAAGTATAATCTATATCTTCATGGGAGCAACAATTTGGGCCATTTGTAATCTACTGGAGATCCAATCTATCTTTCTGATTCACACCTAGAAGCAAACTCTGTACACCACTTATTAGTGACTTATCAAGACTCCACCCATACCTTAAAATCACACACACACACACACACACACACACACACACACACACCTCTTCATTCACATTTGAAACTTTACCCATATTTTAATTCAGATAACACATATGCTCCAAAGTTTTCATTAATTCCTCAGGGCAGAATTATTAATCACTCCACTCTCAGATCTCAGAGCACTTCAAAAACATTCTGCCTTGCTGTATAAATCATTTGTTTTATAATATATAAGAATATACATTTGTATTTTCCATTAGTTGAAGATATTTTTTTTTCATATAAAGTAAGATCATATTTACTTGTCTTTGAATTGGCAAACACAATGAGTAGACAGTTACTGATGCACAGGGGGTATTAGTGATTCTGACAAATGAATGGACAATGTATATTCATTTGACAACTGAAAAAACACTCTTTTTAATGTAATAATCTCCTCAACAGTCCTCAAGAGAGATACTCCCTGTACCACTATGCTTGCTAGAAGCTATTTTACAATGTTTGCAGGCCAGGTTTCATTCATTCCTCTTATGTTGCTAATCCTTCACAGAGATGTGACTCAAATGAGTATTTTTCAAAATGTTTCATAGTTTGTTCCAATTTGTATGTATGTGGTTTAGCCTCTCCTGCTAGGTATGCAGTGATTTGGCTTTAAAATTACTGTTCTTTCACAGTGTTTACCTTTAGTTTGCATGCAGTAAACATAACCTACTATCAGTGTGTGTGGTTTTTTTTTAGATTAGTTAACAAAATAGTATAAACACAGTTATGATCATTTAAAAAGGAAACAATTTGGAAGACTTGTCTATAAAACCCTTAAACACTGCATCTATTTTCAAATGTATCCTCCTCCTTCGTTCTATATCCCTAAAAACATTCACTTTGAAGCAGGACATACAAAAGTTAAAAGAATCACAAAACTGCAGGGTAGAAAGAATCTTATGTACATTTTTCTATACAAATGAGTCAGAAGTAATCTATGCCTATTTCTAGAGTACCTACTATGGGCAAGGCCTTTTTACCAGATGAATTAAAGATACAGCAGTAAATAAGCAATAATAAAAATGCCTACGAGCTTACAGATTTAATTTCAACCACATGCCACACGGAGACTATGATAAAGCGCAAAGACTATGATAAAGTGCAGGCAGAGGGGTAGGCTATAATAGCAGCACAAACATTGCTACAGAGATTTAGAGAAAATAGACAACTTTATAGTAGAAGTAAAATTGGAACTAAAACATGAAAAAAGGGTTTTTGGATTTGTACACATAAGGATGTTGAAAAGAGGAAAGAGATAAGCATATAAATTTAAATATGGAAGAAGCATATAGTAGATGAAAATATTCCAGAAAAATTTTCACAAAAATATTAACGGATATATTTTAATACAAAATTTAATGAATAATCATTCTTATGCTGAACATAATGGTGAAGAATAGCTTACTAATCTTCATATTCAAATTTATATGCCCTTTTTGTGGTTTTATAAAATATATTTTTATTAAATTCAGAGAGGAAGGGAGATTCTCTATCAATGAGAGAGAATCATTGATGGGCTGCCTCCTGCGCACCCCTTGCTGGAGATTGGGCCTGCAACCTGGGCATGTGCCCTTGACTGGTATTGAACTCAGGATCCTTCAGTCTGCAGGCTGATGCTCTCTTCACTGAGCCAAACCAGCTAGGGCCATATGCTCTTGAGTAAATTCTTCTTAAACCCACCCAGGCTTTTTTTCTCCCTGGCCCTCTGTCTCCAATTGCAGCAGCAGAGCACTAAGGAAGAAGCTAATTAGCTTGCTAGAGGCACGTTGTAAAAGGACTGTATCTAGTGCAAATACAAGTTCACACCTTCCTCATTTTCCACTTCTGTGACAGTAATCAGAACCATGCTGATCTGCCTTCTTCCTTCCTCACTCTGCTAAAAATGTGATCTCATAACCAATTTTTTATATCCTCCTGCTGAAAATCCTTTATCTCATTTCCTACTAGGAAAAAACTTACAGTATACCTTACATAATTAATAAAAATCTCTGTTTTCTACCTCCTCTCTTCTTCCAATTTTGTCATAATGTACCAACATGTTGGCACACACACACACACACACACACACACACACACACACATTCTTTTCCCCCCCAGCTATTTCTACCACTAACTCTCAATGAGTTTACCACTCATTTCTTTATGCACAGCAGTATAGTTATGAGAGGAACACATTTCATTTGCTTGTGTGAACGTTCCTTCCTCTGCTTCTCCCAAGTAAAAGTGAAGCTTTACCAGCTCAGACCTCACCTATTTGGTGACACAGAATGAAAATATTGAGAATACAAGGGACACAGTAAAACACTTCATGACTACCACAATTTTCTTATTTGCTCTTAGCTTTGTCTTCCCGGCAAAAAGAGTAATAAAAATAAAATATTACCATTTTGTAAAACCCTACTGAAATAATGGATCTAAGAAATATATCTATTATTGGCTGCCGAAATCATTACATGAAAGAATATGGGAATCTTTATAATGGGTGGACTGGGCTGATAGGATTCAATCCCCCTGTCGAATCTTACCACAAGTAGAGAAACATCAGGCATCAGTGCCTCTTTGGTGAAGTCAAGGGTACGTGGGAGCTCACAGCACTATATCTAACTATCAGTTTTCTGGAAAAATAGGGAATAAAGAACCCTTTCAATGACAACAGAATTCTGTCAGTAATTTCTAAAAGGATGGAGTTCATATAACAAATTACATGATTTCCTTTTTATTAAATTTATTGGGGTGACATCCTACATAATAAAACCCTAAATATGCAAATAAACCCAAAGGCAGAATAACCAGTCGCTATGATGTGGACTGACCACCAGGGGGCAGATGCTCAATTCAGGAGCTTCCTCCCCGGGGTCAGCG